GTTTGCAATGTTATGGCCCTGAAGATGATTTGCCGAAAAGTATACTTTGCCTCACCTCAATGAATTTCATGTCCTATAACTAAGTCTTGGTTCTTGCCACGGAGGAATGCACGATTGTCCTTACACGCCAAGTATGCAACTTGTAGACTGAGAACCGTAAGGGGCATTAAAATGACAGATCAGGCAAAACATTAATCCGCAATTTTAGAACTTTTTTAACGAAAAAATTAAATATACCCTTTCTTTTGAGTAAAAAGAGTTGAAGTAATTATTTGTCAAGTACTTGCAACAAACAACATTTGAAGGTGTGCATATGATAAAGCATATTTGAATTTATAAGGGCATAAAATATTAATAGAAAAAAGTAAATAACTTAAGTAATCGTTTTTATATAGTTTGGTTTTTTGCGCAATCGAAAGTAAATGCACACAAAAGCCGATGTCCTTGCGTGTCTGAAATACCACTTGACTAGGCTGCCAAATGATAACTATTAAAATTTCACTTAAGTAATTCTTCCTAAGTTGAAAAGGGTTTGAGAATTTCGGTTAAAATTTCGTCAGATAGGTCACCTGACTGTATATGTAATATCTCTGTTTTGTTCAAGTTTTCTGGTTTGTTTCCGCAGCTGCTTTTCGCCATGTAAGGTTGAAAATCAAACTATATCACAACTACGTGGAATGAACAGTTTTCCGCCACTCACTCCATGTTGTTATTTGCACTTCCTCTAAAGTCTGCTGAAAACCCGGCCTTCATGGCACATGACACCTTTCTACTTCCCGAACATTTGGTACTTTATCAACTTAAGTCAAATATACTCGAACCACTGCAGACATAGGTACTCAGTCTGGAAGTTTATTTCCAGGTGCGACGGACAGCTTTACATTAATTTAGATTAGTAGGATTTGTCCCGCCAATGAGCATGACCAGATGTAGTCAGCTTCCCTGTGGGCATGTCGCCCGCACAAGCTTGTAAAATATGCTGTCTGTCAGAGTTTATCAGCCGGAATTTACCTCTGCAAGGCTTTTTATATGTATTCTTCTAATGATTTCCAGTTATGCATAACGTAAGTCTTTACGATAATTGCCTGGTATTATTTGAGGTTCCAATTAAGATGTACTAGTCCAGCTTTATGGGGTTTCGCCAATGCTGTTGTCTTTGGCTGAAGTTGACTGTTGTCGGACTGCCAATGCGCCACGAGTAGATTTACTTTGATGACCACTTACTTAAATTGCATTAATTTCAGAGACCAATGAATTACAGTTAGGTTATCCTGTTAGCTAACATTTAAAAAAAGAATCATATCATGAACGACTCTTCTTCATACTTGTCCAATTTGCTAGTTGCCACCTTTTCATACACTTCGTGTTCTTCAACACATCTGTGCCTGAGAAAGGTCCGCTTCTCATCTTCCACGCCTGCGCTTGTACTTAGTCGTCACATTGAGGAAATTCCCTTTGTTCTTTATACTGCCTAAGAAGATTAAACTAGCCCTGATTATAGGATTCAGTGTTTTACATCTTTCTCGGTCACTAGGCCTTTACCACCACGTGGAGAGGATCTGGAAGGTGATTCTGCAGAGAAACCCACCATGGAAACTTCTGTGGGTGGTGAAGATACAGAAGTTGGTGGGGGCGGTGGTAGAACTAGTGATGATGAATCCTCTGTACAAATCTCTACCAGATACTCCCGCACAGGTGCTAACAAGCGTTCATATGCCGGAATGGATGACAATGAAGATGTCCCCGACGATGAATGCTACAAGGATCCTGAGACGGGCAATCGCCGACGGCGGAAGGCAAACGATGACGATGA